GCCAGTGTCATAGAGTATAGAAAAGCTTTTGTTTATTGTCTCTTGTCAGTGTCCTAGAATAACCCATTGTCAGGATTCTAAAGATCCTGCTAGATCACCTGGTAAATACTTCTTCTCCCTTCTTCGAATGCTTTAATTGTAACCACATTTCTACCAAGAAGTCACTCAACTTCAGCTTGGGTGTCCCTGGTGATATAAAACTATTTCCCTACTTCCCAAAGAAACCTGTTTAACCTTAGAGCATCTCTATTAGAAAGCTTTCCCTTATAGTAAATTTGCTTCCATCCACACTCCTAAACTCATTGAAGTTGAAACAAAGACTGTCAGCTTGCTTGCTCTTCACAGTGACAGTCCTTCAAAGATCTGATGGGGAAAAAATCCAGGTTTTTAAATTTGAATTTTTTCATCTGGTCCCCATAAGTCATGGTTTCTAGGGTATACAACATATGAGAAAGCAAGTATTTTACTTGCATGAGACATTGGAGATATCTATATTAGGCTGGGATGGGGGAAAAAAGGCAGTGGCACATACCGTATTTTTCGGACCATAAGACGCACTTTTTTCCCCCAGAAGTGGGGGGGAAAAGTCCCTGTGTTCTATGGTCCAAATATAGCCTATATTGGTCCAAATATAGCCTACACATATACTTTAAAAAAAAAAGTTTTTTTACTTGCCCGGCTCTGTGTGGTCTCTGTGTGCTTGCCTGGCTCTAAAATGGTTCTAAATGCTGCTGTTTACTTTACAGGGTTGATTACATGTGTTTATGACTGTGATGTTGGGTTTTAATGCACATAAAATATTTTAGGACACTATTTGTTTCAGAATCTTTTTTTCTTCATTTCCCTTCTCTAAAAACTGGTGCGTCTTATGGTCCGGTGCGTCTTATGGTCCGAAAAATACGGTACTCTGAAATGTCAGACTTGAAGTCATAAATCCATATGGCCGTATAGGGCAAAGGGAAGAAAGAGGAAAGAGGATACTAAAGACTCAAATGTAACCAGCAATACCACCATAACTTCTTGTTAGGATCACTGGTCAGGTAAATTTCAGTAATGTAGATAACAGAGTAACCTACCTACTTGTGTATCCTCTAAAAATCTCTACATAACAAAATATCACAGATTGGATGGCTTAAACAATATGGATTTATTTCTTGTAGTTCTTGAGTCAGGGGAAGGCCAAGATTAATGTGCTGGACAATTTGGTTTCCTGGTGAGGGCTCTCTTTCTGGCTTGCAGATGTCTGCCTTCTCATTGTTTCTGCACATGGTAGATAAAAAGTTCTGGTATTTCTCCCTCTTATAAAACCACTAATCCCATCATAAGAGTTTCACCCTCATGACCTCATATAAATGTCAAATTACCTCTAAATAGTCTCATCTCCAAATAACATCACATTGGATTTTAAAACCTCAGCATATAAACTGGTGAAAGGTGGGCACAAAAATGTACTCTATAAGAATAAAGTATTTTATCCATCCCAGTACGCAGTTCTTTTTAAAATAAGACATTAATATCTTCAGAGGCTACAGCTGAAAAGCACCTTCATAACATGGAATTCAGGGCTTTGTCTTTATCTTTCAAGATTTCAGACATATATGAGAACTTTTGTCAGGAAACATGATTCAACCTGGTATGAAGCAAGGATGTTTACCTTTCTGAGAACTTCTGACCTTTTAGTGCCTGAATTTATAATAGTTTTAAGGCCAGTAATCATAGCTATATTAAACTCATTGCCCAAAAGTTACTCTACAGGATCCTCATCAATATATGTTGTCAACTGCATTACAAAAAGTTTATCATTAATCATAACATTTTAAAACATTTGTTAGTTGCGGAGTGTTCATAAAATGCTTTGTAATAACCAAGAAAGGATTCCTTACTTGAAGCAGTTTTATAATCTAAAGAGTCAAGACAAACTAATGACAGAGACAAGATGGATATATATGAAAAAGACTCAGGGACATTTATAAAAATAAAAATACATCATGTGATAGTTTGCGTCAAATTTATGAAATACAGTAAAATAATATTGTTTTCATACTCTCCATGAGGTATCCTCAAGCATCTTACAAATAAACTGATTGTAAAGAGAGACATGTGATTAATACCTCAAGGTATGTATATAATTTCAGATAGTATTAGCCCAAGAAAGGGAGGAGTCAATTTGGGCAGCACATAATAGCCAAAAGGGCTTTAAAACACACACACACACACACACACACACACAAACAGAACACTAATTGATGACTAATTATTTACAAAAACAAAGATGTTTGGGTTTGGTAATGGCATTTTAAGGGAAGAGGGTGGCATGAGCAAAAGTTATGCATATTGCAATTATCAGTCATTCATTATAGCAATATTTATTGGGCATCTGTGACATGATAAACACTATGCTAGATGTTAAGACTATGGCACTGACTAAAACTTATGTAGTTCTTTTTCTCATAGACTTTACATTGCAGTGATGGAAAGAAGCAGTAAACAAATGAACAAATAAATGAATAGACATTTTATACTTGTCATAAGTGCATAAGAGAGAGAATAGTGGGTGGACAGAGAAGAACTGTTTGCGGAGATAAATTTTTATTTGGCATTGGAAGATTAGCATAACCCAATGTGAAATATTTGTGGAGCATGTGGAACAATTAGGCAGGTCAAAACAGATGATTTCTGGAGAAGATAAATGATGGGGAAGAGTCTACTTTGAATAAGTGAGGTAGGAATATAAATTTTATTTGGAGGCAATGGGAAGTAATTGAAAGCTTTGGATGGTGGTTTTGATCAAAATTATGGAGGATGAATGAGGTGGTCTGGGGAGACTGTTTGGTGTATAGTGAAATTGGAGGAGAAAAAACCAATTAGGAAAGCATTTAATTATTCAGGAATGAGGTAATGACTGCCCAGAATGGGATAGCTACATAGGAGAGATAGAAAGGATGGGTGAGGAAAAGTTATGTCAAAGGAACAATTGATAGGATTTGGCAAGTGATGGAAAGTGAGATGTAGAAGGTGAGGGGGAGAGAAGGATCAAAGATAACAGTGAGGTTTTTATTCTTGGTTATAGGAAACAGGTCTCTTCAACCACAGAAAAATTTGAAGGAAGGATTGATCTGAGGGGAGAGGGCCAATTATTCCATGCTCAGCAGTCATTTACACATGACTAAATAAATGGGCATTCTGCATCAACAATTTGATGCTAGTGTTCAGGGATATGAAGGTTCACTACTGAGTGGATTAGATAACAGGAGCCCAGAATTTGAAAACTGTCAGCTCAACTGTTAGCCATATTTTTCAATCAAGAACATCACTGCTCTAATTGATTAAAACCTAGACTTCACCAAGTTTATCGAAGTGACATGGGTTTAAAAAAATAGGTTTTAAGTGTAAAATTCTATAATACAACATATATACTGTATTGTGTGTTCAACACCCATAGCCTACTTTCTTTCCATCACCATTTATTCCTTCTTTACCCTCGTCTACCTCCCCTACCCCCAAAATATATTTTAAAAAAACCAACACTGAACCTAGAGATATTAGATAAAAGGAATTAAGAAATTATTTCTTTTAACCTGGCTGGTATTGCCCAGTGGTTTAGCATAGACTTATGAACCAGGAGGTCATAGTTTGATTCCTGGTCAGGGCACATACCTGGGTTGCAGGCTCTATCCCCAGTACAGGGAATGCAGGAGGCAACTGATCAATGATTCTCTCTCATTGACGTTTCTATCTCTCTCCCCCTCTCCCTTCCTCTCTGAAATCAATAAAATATATATTTACAAAAATTATCTGTGTTTATAACAACATTCTGTGAACCATGATACAAAATATTAATATAGTTTTTTTTTTTAAATAGATTTTATCAATATAAATATTGGTAGAGAAAACATTGAGCAATTCTTGGGGTGCTTAAAGCAAGTATCCACACAAAAAAAACAAAATGATAATACAATGGCATGGCAAGTAGAAAATTTTAATCATTTAATTCTAATTACAAAGCTTTGACTGAAAGAATACTTTCTATCATTCCTGACCCCAAAAGTCATGCCCCCCCCCCCAAAAAAAAACCTAATGGATTAAAATCTCTAGGCTTGAATCAGGACAACTGGTTGCTCTTATCTAACAACTATTCTCCCCAGGCTATTTGTAGTCATTTCTATTTAAAATAAAGTGTATGCAAATGTGTGTGTGTGTGTGTGTGTGTGTGTGTGTGTGTGTGTGTAATGTTCAGATATGAAAATTATTGTATCTTTTGGGGATAGGAACATTGGTATAGTAGTCAATTATTTATTTATAATTTATATCAATCCTATTTGCAAAAAGGATTAAAAGTGTTTTTGCATGCTATATTTCAAGTAAAAATCTGGATATCCAGAGTTTCATTTTAACAAAGCTGTCTATTTTATTTCCTAATCACATCTGTGATAAACTATTCAGTGCTTAAAATTGTTGCACTACCCTTTTTTCTAGAGGGAGTTTGCATTTAAGTACTATTTTCCTTTTAAAATCATGTTTTAATTCAATAAAAAGAATCTGGTATAAATTCCAAAATAAGAACTTACCTGTGGAGTGGCAGCATGAAATTGCAAAAATGAAAACTCACATCAGTAGACCTGGTGCCTCAATCTTGTTTCTGCCATTTATTTGGATTTATGTTCTATTTTAATCTATGAAATTAGGCTGGTGATATTATTTGTCTCAGACTTGTTTTTAAAGTTAACATGAGGGAATTGCTTTGAAGGTTTGTAAGTTGAACCATATATATGTTAGACATCCATATTGACAGATTCTCAGACTCTGTTATACTCTGGTGATAATACTGGAATGATCCTGAAAACTCAAGGTAATTGGGTCTTTACTATTGGACATTTGTCCTTAATGGAATATATTTTATTTCTGCATCTTGGCTTTCAGGAAAAAGAACAAAGTGTGTTGCTGTATGTCAGTTTATCTGGCCTTGTCATATTCACAGTGACATTTCTTTACCCTCACAGATGTGACTGACTTCATGGAGGCAGAACCCCTGGTCTCAACAATTGAAGGCTATGATGCTCAGCTCAAATGCAAAGCAGCTAAATATATCTACACTCATCTTGCTTGGTTCAACCCCCTTGGAGAGAAGATTCCTGTTATATACACAGAAAGCTTAAAAAATAACTACTCCATCTCATTGACACTGGTGATTAAGAATGTGACCAAGAAGGATAAAGGGCAGTATAAATGCAAGGCTTGGACTCAGAGGAACATCACCAAGATAATGCAACATAATACTCAGCTCTTAATTAGAGGTAGAATTGGAGGCACTTTCCCAACACTTTTTAGCATTTAAGACAACTACTGTGTGGGATGTTGAACCAGGATAGGGCTTTTACTAACTTCTGTCTTACTTATAGGCTGGACCAGTCAATCTTTTGTTTCCTGAGGTCTCTTGAAGACATTTCAAGGAAAGGGTCTTGTATATTCTGTATAAAACAGATGATAGAAAAATTTGGGAATGGAATTTTTGGTCCATCTAACACCAAAACTCTTCAGCAGCCACTTTTATTGCTTGCAGTGGCTAAATATGACATTGAAGAATACAAAATGTAAACCATCACACACTTTACCATTACAGTAGATTTTATCCCCATCTATCCTCTCTTTTATTTCATAAGGTAACATTTAACCATCCATTGTCTGATTAAACATGAGGGGTAAAACAGAGATTAAGTGATTTATATGTGGTATCCTTCCTCAAAAATATTGCCTTTTTACTGTTTTCTATAGAAAAAGTTGCTCCATTCATTATTGAGAATCTTACCAATATTGAGGTTAACAGCAGTGAGAAGATTTTGCTGGATTGCAAAGTGAGTGGAACACCACAGCCTAACATCCACTGGTTGAAAAATGGGGTTCCTATTATTCCTGCTTCAGGTGAGTCTGAAGATCTTGTGTAGTTGTTTCTAATCAAGAGGGCTTGAGTTGGTGCAGCTCCTTTGAGATTACTTGACTTTGAAACTGTCCCATGATTGACTTAATAAGATAGGGGCTCAACATATTCTAAGATTTGGCTTCAGTGCAAACACTTCAGAAATAATAGGGGATGTTGTTGATACAGGGATCTTCTTTGAAAACAACAACCTTATTATTGAGCGAGCCAAAAAAGAAGATGAGGGCTTCTATCTGTGCAAAGCGACCAATGAGTTGGGGGAAGTCAGCACAGCAGCTGTTATCACTGTGGAAGGTAAGTTGGAAATTCCTGGCTATCTTGATAATCAGTAATGGAACCCCAAAAATAAAAAAAAACGCATTTAGTGATGGGGGCACAGTGCAGAGAGACAATGGAGAAGGCAAACATGTATATACAGTTAGTATATCCACTTTCAATGAGAAGGTATGTGGAGTAGCATGATTTGGAAAACCTGAGTTCAGAACCCCATACTTGTTGTGAACTTGATGGGATCTTAAGTAAGCCTTTCTGGGTCTCAGATTTCTCATTTCTAAAATGATAATAACACCAGCTGTGGTCTATTTTTTAGAGGTGATACAAATAAAGGCCAAGATATGGGAATGTTTTACAAAATAAAACGTATCAAATGGCATTATTTCCCTTTTGTTGGTTGGAAAATATTTGATGGCATTTGGAAATATAAAAAATAAAAAGTTGACCACTTTTATTTGTGAATATGAAGCCCAAAGAAAGTAAGATACTTGCTAAAGCTTGTGGCAAGGTGCTTTATTCCAATGTCCTATGCCATTATAATGACTATTTAATTGTTAAAGGAAAAGTTGTATCTGTTCAAAGAAATGCTATGGGTTGGGCTAACCATCTTGGTATCTCTAAAGCCTTTTGCACATTCTGCTAGATATACTCTTCTAGGTCATATCAGGCAAATCATATTAGCTGATTTAACAATCTGGCCTCACATTGGTCTGAGATAATCCACAGAATTAACAAAACAAAACAAAAAGGGAAACTGGTAATAATAAGATAGATAAAATAAGTAATACACTACACTGTGCTATTTTCACTTCTCATTATCTCATTTAATATTCTGAATAACTCTATGTGGCAGGTATTTTATTATTATTCCAATTTTTATTTTTAATTTTTTTTCTTTATTGTTGAAAGTATTACAGATATCCCCTTTTCTTCCCTATTGATCCCCACTACCCCACTCCATCTCCTCCTCAGGACTTCCCTGAGCTATGCATATATGCATATAAGTTAATTAGTTAATCTCTGAAATCTGGCTCTACCATTTAACAGCTGCATGACCTTGAGGAAATTACTAACCTTTCCGTGCCTCAGTTTACCCATCTAAATAATAACTATATTATTTCCATTTCAGATGGGCAAACTGAGGCACGGAAAGGTTAGTAATTTCCTCAAGGTCATGCAGCTGTTAAATGGTAGAGCCAGGAATTCAACTCAGGCAATGTGATACCATACTTCACACCTATTTTGGCTTTGTCCTTGAGAGCCAGCTAATTAGGCAGAACATAACTTTAAATGTTTCATTTTGGCTTTCTGCCTCAGATATATCTATATATCTATATATCTATATATCTATATATCTATATATCTATATATCTATATATCTATATATCTATATATCTATATATCTATATATCTATATATCTATATATCTATATATCTATATATCTATATATCTATATATCTATATATCTATATATCTATAGATCTATAGATCTATAGATCTATAGATCTATAGATCTATGGATCTATAGATCTATAGATTTATGGATCTATAGATATATAAATATAGTATTTGTTCAGTTCTTTCTTTTGAGTCATCTAGTACAATTATCAAGGATTTTTTTTCTATAAATCTCAGAAAGCAATGGCCACACTCCATAAAAAATTTACATATTCACAAACAAAATTTGGCACTTGGTGACAGTTGTCCTTTAGAAATAAATGTGATTTGTAAAAGACAGTAATTTTCTCCTTCTTTCTCTCAGTTTCTGCAATGTACTAACTCATTTTTATTTTAATAAATTCTGTCTTCAATGTCTTTACAGGCTCTGAAGAGAAATCCAATATTGAAGTCATTATTCTTGTTTGTACTGGCCTTGCAGCTACTCTTTTCTGGCTTCTTCTCACCCTGGTCATTCGAAAACTCCGAAAGGTAGGGGATAAAAAGCACTTCAGGGCTTTGGGTCTGGCTCATAATATACTTTTTGTTTCAGAACAATCTCTTGGTAGATGGATTATTTATCTAGGCAATGGGAAGAGACTATATCCTGAGTGACCAGATTATTATGATCTTTGAACACATAATAATCTGGCCACTCAGTGTATATCCTATATAATAAAAAAAAATAAAATGCAAATTGTCCACTGGACCAGGAGTTCGACCAGCAGGCCGGCCGGCCAACCACTCATATCTATGTCTCCTCCCCCTGGCCAGGCTGGCCAGACTCCATCCATGCACGAATTCATGCCACCAGGGCCTCAAATATATATACTGTATACTGAGTGGCCAGATTATTATGCATTCAGAGATCATAATAATCTGGCCACTCAGTGTATGTGCAAGCAGTGTGTGTGTGTGTGTGTGTGTGTGTGTGTGTGTGTGAAAGAAGAGAGATTGGGGACTAAAATGTAATAGAGTTTTTTTGTTTTTGTTTTTGTTTTTATTGAAGGGAGAGAGAGAGAGATTTGTTGTTCTGCTTATTTATGCATTCATTGCATAATTCTGTCTCACCCCCTGGTGGTCAGTGCAAGTTAATTATTGTACATGCCCTTTCCAGGGATCAAACCCACAACCTTGATGTATTAGGATGATGCTCTAACCAACTGAGCTACCAGGCTAGGGCCTGTAACATTTTTACTTTATGCATTCTTTAAAATTGGGAACTGATATAAGAATACAGCTACCCACTCAGATTTCATCTCATTTTTCCCCCCAATTACACTTTACATCCAATATTATTTTACTAGTAGCCCTGCGAACAAATCCGTGCGCCAGTAGCTCTCTGCAGGGCCTTGCTGCTCCGCACCTGCTGTCCAGAGGCTCTCCGTGGCCCAGAGGCTCATCTGTGGCCCCGTGGGTGGGTGGCTTTGCTTCCCTTCACTCTCAGTAGCTTAAGGGTTTTGCTTACTAGGGGAGCAAATGAGAAGAAGGATGGGGGCGGCTTCAGCGCTAGCACCCTCCAGGCACTTTACTCCAACCATTGATTGCCTCTTTTGAGGCTTGGCTGTAAGAGTGTCTTATGCCCAACCCCCTGTGGCTTCAGGCTTTTGTTTTCTATGAAAGAAGGTTCAGGGAAGTGGGTGATGCTTCCTGCCTATTTTCTCCTCATCTTCAGATTCCCAGTGCTGCCTGCACCACTAGCAGCAGTTGCTCTGGTCTTCAGCTGGCACTGATCTTCCCAATGAATCTCCAGGGAAGCCTTGGGGAAGGAGCTTGCAAGTACAGACTCCCCTTATAACGGTGCCTCTTCCCCTCACCTCCAGCTACAGTTGACATTAACTATTACTTTATATTGTCGGGGTGACAACACATACCTTCCGCACCCTGCAGCTGGGCATAGAACACTTGCCTGGTTGCCGCGGGCCACTCACACTGCCTGCTCTCAGTGGCTACCTCTCCCCCCTCCCAACTGGGGGACTCCAGCAGGACTGAGAGGACTGGGCACCGTCATCTTGTGGCTATGGGTGTGGCCATCTTTGTGACGGAGTGTTGGATAATTTACATATTCCTCTTTTATTAGATAGGATATTACTTTCAGCTGTACATGTATTATATGTAATCATATACTTTACAAAGCGATCCCCCTACTATTTCCAGTACCCACTGGTGCAACACACAGTTATTACAATATTATTGACTATTAATATAACTCCTATCTATACTTTACATCCCCCTGACAGTTTTGTGACTACCAATCTGTACTTTTCAATACCTTCACCTTTTTCACCTAGTTCTTCATCACCCATCTCCTCTGGCCACCACCATATGCTCTCTGTGTCTATGAGTCTGTTTCAATTTTATTTGTCATTTATTTCGCTCTTTAGATTCCACATATGTGAAATCATGTGCTATGTGTCTTTCTCTGTCTGACTTATTTCACTTGGCATAGTACCTTCTAGGTCCACCCATGCCATTGCAAATGGTAAGATTTCATTTTTTTAATGTCTGAGTAATATTTCATTGTATAAATGCACCACAACTTTTTAAAAAATATTTATTTTTATTGCTGAAAGTATTACAGATGTCTCTTTTTTTTAAATATTTATTTTTATTGCTGAAAGTATTACAGATGTCTCTTTTTTTTTCTCTCCCATTGAACCCCACTACCCTAGTCCCACCCCCTCTCCTTCTATACCACAACTTAAAATATATATATATTTTTATTGATGTCAGAGAGAAAGGGAGAGGGAGAGAGAAACATCAATGATGAGAGAGAATCATTGAGTGGCTGCCTCCTGCATGCCCCCTACTGGGCACTAAGCCTGCAACTCAGGAATGTGCCCTTGACAGAATCAAACGTGGGGCTTTTCAATCCACAGGCCAACACTCTCTCCACTGAGCCAAACTGGCTAGGGCTATACCACAACTTTTGAATCCACTTGTCTATTGATGGGCCTATGTCCAATTTTAAGTTAGTATAACTAATGCTTTCAAGAATTATTTTTAGGGGATTTTAATGTATCAGCTGGATTGTAGTTTAATATTTATGCACTGCGGGAAGGGTCTCTCAGCCTGGCCTGCACCCTCTTGCAGTCTGGGACCCTTCAGGGGATGTTGGGGCTCTTGAAGTCTGGGACCCCTCACTCCTTACCACTCTACAGGCATGAACCTGACTTCTGGCTGAGCAGTGCTCTCCCTGTGGGAGCACACTGACCATCAGGGGGCAGGTTCTGTGTTGAGCGTATGCCCCTGGTGATCAGTGCAAGGCATAGCAACTAGTCATTTTACTGTTTGCAATTTGCATATTAGGGTTTTATTATATAGGATATACATTTTATATTGACTAATGTGATATATTTTCGTAGAATATAGATAAATATATAATTGTCACAACTAAAGCCCTATTAAGTGATTAATTGGCTTTTGTTGACTTTTGTTTCCAAGGTTACTTGTTCTAAAAACATTTTTATGTGTTACAAAATCCATTTTATGAAAGTTAAACTATTAAGAGAAAAATTAAAGTGTCAATTTAGGCAAAATCTCCTTTTGCTGAAAAATAATAAAGTAATTGGCAGGAAGACATTAGGCCTGATTTACAAAACATGTCAAGAAGTCTTCTAAGCCAGGCTAATGGAAAACTGTGGTAGATATCCCAGGGGGGTCGTGGAGCTCCAAGATTTCCTGCTAGTTGAACCAGCCAGCTGTAACTCATTCTTTTCTTTCATTAGAGTCCAGGTACTCAGATTTCTTTTCTCAAATGATGAAAAAAAAAAATTACTTCACACACTCCCTTTGAGTCTGGCTATAGAGTTTGCCAATCTCACTGGTTTTCCTTAGCTTGCTAACACAAGAACCATACCTTTTTATTTGAAGGGTTTTAATGTTATCACAAGAAAGAAATAGGAGGTACAAAACTTAATGCAGGGATGTCAAGGGAGATTGACAAAAGTTCTGGAATATTATTAAGGTTCTCCTAGATATTGGCTTTATTCTGGAATCCCTTATTCCACATGTCTTTCTGATTTTCTTCTTTAATAATAGAGGTAAAACATAAATATTTTCTCTATCCCTAGAACATCCTTCTGTTCCTCGTTTTGTGTGTGTGTGTGTGTGTGTGTTGTTTGTTTGTTTTTTGTTTGTTTGTTTGTTTGTTATTTTGTCTTTTTTTGTTTTTGGTTTTTAGGGGGTGAGAGAGTAAGTCTTATTTTATTTTATTTTATTTTTCTTGTTTAAAATATTATGTTTGTTAGGATTCCCCTGTTGACCTCTCCCATGCACATCCCACCCCCAACTCATGCCCTCACTCCACTAGTACCTGTGTTCATTGGTTATGCTTATTTGCATGCATACAAGGCCTTTGGTTGATCTCTTACCCCCCCCAAACCCCCCCCCCCCCCCCCGCCTTCCCACTGAAGTTTGGCAGTCTGTTTGATGTTTCTCTGTCTCTGTATCAATGTTTGTTTGTTTGTTTGTTTTTTACCAGTTTATGCTGTTCATTATATTCCACAAATGAGTGAGATCGTGTGATATTTATCTTTCTCTGATTGGCTTATTTCACTTAGCATAATGCTCTCCAGGTCCATTCATACTGTTGTGAATGGTAAGAGGTCTTTCTTTTTTATAGCAGCATAGTATTCCATTGTGTAGATGTACCAATAATTTTTAATCCACTCACCTGCTGATGGGCATTTAGGCTGTTTTAAAAATCTGAGCTATTGTGAATTGTGCTAATGTCCGGGTGCATATGTCCTTTCTGATTGTTGTTTCCAGTTTCTTAGGATATATTCCTGGAAGTGGAATTAATGGGTCAAATGGGAGTTCCATTTTTAATATTTTGAGGAACCTCCATAATGTTTTCCACAGTGGTTGCACCAGCCTGCATTCCCACCAGCTGTACATGAGGGTTCCCTTTTTCTCCACATCCTCACCAGCACTTGTCATTTGTGGATTTGTTTGTGTGTTTTTTAAAATATATTTTATTGATTTTTTTACAGAGAGAAAGGGAGAGGGATAGAGAGTTAGAAATATTGATGAGAGAGAAACATCGATCAGCTGCCTCCTGCACACCTCCTACTGGGGATGTGCTTGAAACCAAGGTACATGCCCTTGATCAGAATCATACCTGGGACCTTTCATTCTGCAGGCCAACACTCTCTCCACTGAGCCAAACCAGTTAGGGCCATTTGTGAATTTGTTGATAGCCATTCAGACAGGTGTGAAACATTCTGACATAAAAATGCATATAGTATGGTGATAGAGATTGGAAATAAAAGGCTAGGTGATAAAGTTGGTCATTTCAATCTCAGGGAGACTCTAGATGGATTATGTCCACCCTTGATCACGGGAAAAATGGCTCAAGTCCATGATTTCCCATTTGGTCTCCATATGAAGTTTGAGGTATAGTCACCTACTTTTCCTTGACTCCTTTAATCACAAGTTAAGTAGATGTTTGATGTACCTTAAGCCCTGGTCAATGCTGGAGCTAGAATCAT